GTCTTCCTTCATTTACTCCCCTTTCATTTATTCACTCTATAATTCAATGAAATTGGCTTACTTGTACCTCCTCAAACATGGGTCCCTTTGTTCTGCCACTGGACTTTGCCGATGACTTTGCACAGCTCTGCCTCACTTAAATTCAGTTCATACACAAGTCAAGATATTATCCCGTGATGTCATTGGTCCTCTTCAAGAATGAAGGATCAACAAGAACCCCTCCCCCAACTCTACACACCTTTGCACTGGCTGTCCTCCCTACCTGGAATGCTCCATCCCCTCACTTCTACCTATTAGTTCCCTGGCTTCCTTCAAGGGTTAGTAAGCCCAAAGTCTACCCACCCACATCCCTGGTGCTAAAGCCTTTCCCTTTCAAATTATTTTCATTTATTCTTTATATAGCTTGGTCATACCTAGTTATTTACATGTTGTCCCCTACCTCCATTAGAATGTGAGCTCCTCAAGGATAGGGACTGTGGTTTTTTTACTTTTCTTTTTATCCCCATCCCTTAGCCTATTGCCTGACATACGGTAAGAGCTTAGTAAATTCTTATTGATGAACTAATTCTAACACAAGCTGTGGACCAGGAATCAAAACCCCATGGTAGAGGTTGATCAGGGGAATTCCTTGGTTGACATGATGAGTCTACAGAGTAGTGAGACCTAGCTTCCTAGAAAGAAGAAAGTGGATATCCTGGACAACTACCAGTCTCAGAATTGGCTATCTAGCAACCCAATCATGGGTCCAGGATCCAGTCTTCCAGAGAGATGAGTTCCTTGGCAGCTCTAGCTTCTCAGTAAGAGGAGTTAGCTTCTTCCTTCACATGGGAAGGAACCACATTTCAATCCTCCTCTCTTTAAGAGGATGGCACTTACAGGAACTCCTCATTCCTATTTCTAGAAGGCTGGATCCTGGAATTCCCAGGGTTGTGGTTGCTAAAAAAAACAACCACCTTGGGGCTGTGGCTGCACACCACCACTTGTTATCCATCCAGGACATTGGGACTGACTTCTCTTCTGTTCTGCTTGGCCTTGAGGAAGAAGCTGTGGCTGGCTCCTTGTGGTCATGATTTCTTTTCCCAGGTTCACTAACCATCCCATTCCAAAATTTTGGCCTCAGAAGGCAGAATTAGGTGTAACTCATAGAAGTTGGTTGACGTTAAATGTCAAGAATAACTTCTTATTCTTCATCTTCATCTTCACCATCATTATCATCATTAGCAACATCATCATCATCATTGTTGTCCCAAATTGGAAGCAGCAGCATAGGTGTGGTGAATAAAAATCTGGCCTCTAAGTCAGGAAGACTTGAATTCAACTCCTGTCTCTGACCTATACTAGCTGTATGACTTTAGGCAAGTCATTTAACTTTTCAAAGCTGTAGGCAACTCTCTCAGACCCTAAGTTTCCAAGAAGGTGGCTGATCTGGATTGGTAGAAGGGTTTCCTCACTGATGAGTCCCCTAGGCTAATGAAATCCTGGGCGCAGTTCCTGTCACTATCCCAAAGTGAAGGAGGATGCCTCAGTAGAGACTGGGTTTCTCCCCTTGGGGACTGTAGGTCCCCAAGCAGAGGATGGTTACTTGGAAGGAATGAGACAGTGGAGAGTCTTTTTGACTGTATGAGTTCCAACCAGATAGCTGCTGAGGTCTTTTCCAACCCTGAAATCCTACGATTCTTTGAATTCTCCTGCTAAGATGTTAAGCCACTGTCCCTTTAAGGACAGGAAGCTGAAATTCAAAAACCCTCTCTCTGGCCACCATAGATGAAAGTACCTTCAGCTCCCATGAATCTCTGCCCCAATGCAACCATCTAACTTCAAGGGTGCTGGTGGAAGTGAGGGCACTGCCCCTCTCCCATGAACCCAGATCTGTTCTTTGTTTTATAACTCTCTGTTTCATCCTTCACAAAGAGGTACAGGCCAAAGAACCCAAAGGTTCAGTTCCCCTTTCATGGTGACCCAGTACAAAGAGGTAGTTCTGATCCCCAACAGTTGAGCTATTTAAATCACCCTGGAGGACCCAGGAGCTATTCTCAATACCCCCCAAGGTATTAATGGACACTGACCACCCTCCACAGAGAGAAGTAAGTAAAGTCCTAAACAAAGGCTCATCCCAGGCAGAGTAGATCAAGAGCCCATCTTGCAGTCAGGAATATCTGGGTTCAAGTCCTTGACTGTGTAATCCTACACAAGTCTCTTAATCTCTCCATGCCTAGGCAGCACTCTTAGACTATAAGCTGCAGGGCAGGTAGTATTCTACACTGGGACAGTGTCTTCCTTGGGAACTCCCTATACCAAAGAAATCACAACCAAACACACCCTGAAAGCTAACCAAGTTTCTTGAGAATTGGGAATAGTTTGTTTGTTGTATTTATAGCCTGGCTTCTAACCAAGCCTGGAACATTTTGGGAGCTGTCATGTATGCAAAAGAAAAGTCCTCTTGAAGAAAATGCTGAGTTCACTTGACCCTGATCACTTGCATAAGGAGTGGGCTGGATTGGTGCCAAAGTTTCTTTGGTGAGAGACAATCATGATACAACTCCAATGATATACATACATACATATATATGTATGTATGTATGTATATGTATACACATACACACACACACACACACACACACACACACACATATATATATATATATATATGCAGTTTCCAAACTATATATATATACAGTTTGGAAACTGCAGACTTCTCAATCTGCCCTTGATTTCCAGCTTGTCTCCCCTGAGACTTCAACCTTTCCCTGTGCCCTAGGGACTTTCTGCATGATAGAGATCAGGTCACCTCTCTTGGTTTGAGCTTTCCCTACAAATCTGCAGCTTCCAAAGAGTGTATTGCAACACACCTGTTTCTCTCTCCCAAAGTTTTAGCATCAATCCTACCTATTATGCAGGTGTCCATTGTCACAATTTAGCATTCTCTCCACCATTAAGAGTCAAGTCTCCTTTCACATATGCAGCAGCATGCAGAATGCCTGTGACAGTTGAGAGCCTGGCTACATCATTGTATCCTCAGTGCCTATCACAATACCTGACACACATGTAGTAGGTTTTTGATGAATGCTAGTTAATCCATTGACTGATTAGGGAACTCCCCTGATTAATTCCATACACCTTTTTCAGGAATCATCTTTTAAATCAGCTGCCCTTTTCACAAATAAGCCTTTTTCTTGGGAAAGTCCTTCTCCTCCAATCAGCAATAATGATGAAAATACTATCTATCCCTTCAGAGATCTTTGGTTTCTTACCTAACACTCTGTATTCCTTAGCAGTGGTTTCTAGATTCCTTCTGGCAATATCATTTGGGCCACAGGTGTCACTGGCATAGTCATCAAGTTTGACAAATGTCAGAAGGTTCCCTGCCATGGTCTAGACACATGTCCATGGATGGCAGCAGTGATCTCTTTTCTTAACCAGCTTTTCCCTCTGTCCTTCTCAACTGGGAAGTCACCACCTGCCACCTTCTGTCTGACCTCTCACCTGACAGGCATAGGGGTATCCAAGTCATTCCTTGAAGCACCAAGGCTTTCCTCCCAGAGCATCTAGCTCCTCGTTTTCAGGAAGGGTCACCTCTCCATTCCCTAGCTCCAAGAGTTCTGTGTTCCTTCCTTTTCTGCTCTATGCCCATCCTTCTTCTCACCAACTTGTCAGTTAAGATACCCCCTATATATTCAGATCTTTTTCATTTTTGTTGTTTTCACCCCAAAACCCTATTCCATTTCTAATAGGATCATCGATTTAGAAATAGGAGATAACTTAGAGGTTACCAGGTCTAACACTATTATTTTACAGAGAAGAAAACTGAGGTCCAGAATGAGGAAGGGATTGGTTCAAGACCACCTAGTTGGTGGAGGGAGAAGGCATTAAATTGGGAGCTGGGACTCAATTGTAGGTCTTCTCCAGACCTCTAACCACTAAATCACACTGCCTCTCAGGGCATAGGAGTAGCTCTCCAAGAGGTAATAAAAACAAAGATTAAGTTGTCCACCCACCCACCCACATCCCCAATGAGCCTAGCTTCCAAAATGGAGCAAAGTAGACTCAATTGCTCTCCCTGGTATGGGAAAAGAACCCTGGATTTGGGTTTGGCCCGTGCCAGTAACTCATTGAATCACCTTAGTGAGTTTCCTTCCCTTCTCTTCTCTTACTTCACTGGTAAAATGGGAATAATATTCGCACTGCCCACCTCATAAGGCCAGTTGTGGCAAAAGCTGTTTGCAAACCTCCTTAGGTGCCATAGAAAAGAGATTTATTATTAAGATTATTATCCTACACTAAATAAAAGAGATAGCAAGCCCTCCCCTCTTTGCAGAAGTTGGAAGAGGGCCTAAAGACTAAGTGGGGGTAGAGATGGGGGGGGGGCTGCATATAATATTGGGTTCAGTTGACACACTGCTTAATTTTGCTGAAAGGTTTTTGTTTCTCTTTATTGTTTTTTGAAAATAAATATTAGCTTTCTGTTAGATGGAGTAGGAAGAATATTTTTTGAAATTAAGGTGGTATAAAAATGAAAGCTATCAATAAATTTTTAAAGGAAAAAGGGTTTGTTTGTTTTTTTAACAAAGAGGGAACTCTTAATAGGAAAAAATCCACCATTTTTAGAATTACTTAGAAAACCCCAGATTAGAAAAGGAGAGATTCACTCCTGTCTAATGGAGATATCTCTTGGGGGGGGAAGCTGCATATTTTTCTGTTACAACTGTCCTCTACTTCTCTTTCTCTTTGACTTGGTATCCAGCCAGGCAAGGCACCATTGCAAGGCTCTAAGCTGGCATCCTGTTTAATCAGCCCATAACTTGTGGGTTTGGTTAGTACTTATCCTGATATGAGGTTCCATAACTGAGAAGTATAGGCAGAGTTGTAGCCTCTCTCTCTCTCTCTCTCTCTCTCTCTCTCTCTCTCTTTCTCTCTCCCTCTCTCTCTCTCCCTCTGTGTGTGTGTGTGTGTGTGTGTGTGTGTCTCACTGACACCAACGGGACATAAGGGCATGTACTTACCCATGGAGAAAGGGATGAAGGCTTCATTCTTTTTCAGAGCTCCTTGGGCATCCAAGAAGTGGTTGGGGTCAAAGATATGTGGCTTCTCAAAATGATGAGGATTTTTCAGACTGGAGCTCAGGAAAAGGAACACATCAGTACCCTGGTGTGAATGTGAGGGAGAAGGGCTCAAAGTAGGTAGCAATGGTGCTCCCCTTACTTCTGGGGAAATTCTAGAATTTCTAACAGGAAATATTGGAAGGAAGAATCATAGTGTGCCCACATCAGGGGTGCTGCAAGCATTGACTTTGGGCACTTGAGGACCCCAAATGACTTTACCTTGGGAAGAAGGTGCCCTCGGTCACCATGTGAGGTATACCCAGAGGGAGGAGGTCACTGAGTCTCTGGATTTCATGGATGACAGCATCAGTGTAGGGCATTTTGGCTCGGTCCTGGAGTTCTGGAGAATGATTCTTCCCTATTATCCAGTCAATCTCTTCCTGGCCTTTCTCTGGGGCAGAGGAAGAGACATGTAAACCCAATTCACAGGAACGGCCCCAGAGGGAAAGTGGAGAACAGGCAAATTAGTGGGTGCCACTGCTTTATCAAGCAGTCTGGTGGCATTCAAAATAAAGTAAAGGAACTCTGATATGGGCAGTTAGGTGGCACTGAATTGAGTGCCAGGCCTGAAGTCAGGAAGAATCAGTTTCATAAATTTAAATCTAGCCTCAGATATTAGCTGTGTGACCCTGGGCAAGTCACTTAATCTTGTTTGCCTCAGTTTCCTCATCTATAAAATGAGCTGGAAAAGGAAATGGCAAACCATTACAGTACTTCTGTCAAGAAAATCCCTTTCAGAGATTTGGTGTATAGCATTGCTTTTGCTCATCCAGGTCAGAACACTCATAAACACCGACTGGTTTGATGAAAATAATGGGGAAATTCAGAAGCTGCTAAATGAAAAATGAGAACCCCACAGGGTTTACCAGCAGGATAGTTCATTTGAACTGCCTCAGGAAGATTCTGAAGATCACCTGGCAGGATAAGATACCAGACACTGAGGTCCTTTCTCTAACTAGACTGCCAAGCATTCAACTCTATTGCAAAGAGTACAGGTCTGATGGGCTGGCCGAGTTGTTCAAATGCCAAATGTATGCTTGCCAAAAGGACTATGTTATACAGCACTCACACAGGGGAAGAGCTCAGATGGTGGTCAGAAAAAGCAATGCAAGGACACTCTCAAGGTCTCTCATAAGACCTTCGGAATTGATTGTGTGACATGGGCAACACTGTCACGGGACTGCTCAGCATAGCATGCCCTCATCAGAGAAGATGCCATGCTCTATGAGCAAAGCAGAATTGAAGTAGCTCAAAAGAAACACAAGATGCGCACATTTAGAGAATCCACTCCAAATGTTCATATAGACTATTTGTGCCTGACCTATGGTAGAGCATTCCAAGCTCATATTGGTCTGATCAGCCAGTCAGACATGCTGTAACTTGATTCTAACATAGTGATGTTATTTGGTCCTCTTCAAGAAAGGACAACCAAGTAATAAAACCCCCAACACGGTCACAGAGTGTCAAACAGGACTGAAACACTACTTAATACAACAACTCTGACCACTTCTACAATGTAGCCCATTCAGGAAAAGTTAGCCTGGAATCTCTAAGAGGCACTCACACTAGACTTGCCTAAGAAAGTCTGGGACAATGGAAGGGACCAACCTTTGATGTGCCTATTATGTGCAAAGTATTCATGGGTTGGATAAAGAATAACCAAGGTTTCCTTAAACTTTTAAAAAGCCATTTGGAAAGCCAAATAGACAGTCATTTAAGTCCTCATTTCCCAAGTATTTATGAAACACTTACTGTAAGAGAAGCCCCTTAATTCCCTTCTTTGTTTTCAAGATAAAAAAAAATCACAGGACTTGGATGAAATGGGAGTCATCAACTCAATTCCTCCTGGTGAAATGAAGAGCCCCTCCCAGGCCTTACCACTTCCTTGACACTGCCTCTTAATGTCCTCTAGACCTTACCACCTGCACTGCCACCTCTTTCTAAGGTGCTCTAAGTCTTACCTATCGGAATGCATCTACACCCTCCAGACCTCTGCTATTGTCGTCTGACTTGCTCCTCATCTCCAACTCTGAGCTTACCTGGCTTGCTTCAATCTCACCTAAAATCCCATCTTCTGAAAGAAACTTTCCTGATCCCCTTTAATGCTAGTACTTTCCTTCTGTTGATTACCCTCAATGAATCCAGTATATATATATATTGTTTGTACAGAATTAATTGAAGTTATATGGAGTCTACCCCATTCAGCTGAGAACTTCCTGAGGGCAAAAATGTTTTCTTTATAATCCCAGTACAGTGCCTGGCACATAGCAAGTGTTTAATAAATGTGTTTTCATCTGACTCACCTACCGGTGTAACTTAAGAACCCCTGGACCTTGCCATCTATCCTACCACTGCCCCTTAGGACTTTAGGGTGTTCCATCTGCACTGTGGATGAACTTTCTTTAATGTGTTATTTCCCCAATAAGAGTATGAGTTCTTAACAGCAAGAACTGTCTCTATCTTTTATTTTGACGAGGGTTCGTTCAGTTTCAGAAGTCAAGATCTTTTGTCCCTTTTCCCTTTGCCCCTTTTCATCAAAAGGAAAACCCTTAAATTTTTAGATTCCACTTACCTCCCTCCCAAAGCCTCAGCCTCACCTTTTAATCTTATTTAGATGAGCTTTCCTCCCTTGCCCTAAAAAGAACCTGGCTGATGTTTGTCTCTCTTTATCTCCCTTTGAAAGCAAACGTCTACCTTCCAGTTCCCTTCATTATCTATTTTTGTTGTTTATTCAAATCTCTCAGACCTTCCAAATGGAATTCCCACCTGGACCCTTTTTCCCAACCACTTCCCCCCTTCAACTGGCCTTTCATTGTGGCTACAGCCAATCTCCCCTCCATTGTTTTACCTTCCTATGGCCCCTGGCCATTTCCCACCCTTAATCCTAGCTAGGCACCACGAGGTCCAGGAGCCAGGAGTTCTGTTCACCCCAGCTTACTAGCCACTCCCATCCAAATCTCCCTAGGCCCTTCCTCCCATCACCCCAAACTACTTGGCCACTCCTAGATCCCTCCCACAGTCTTTCTGTACTTAAGATTCACCTTTGCCCCCATTCTGACGCTGAACTGTTCTCACACCCAAAGGCTGAGACTCTCATGCCCGCTCATCCTTATGGGCGTCACCTGGCCCATCCACTCTAGCCCCCCATTCAGATGCTGAACTTTTCTCATTCCCAAAAGGCTGAGACTGTCTCATGCCTGCTAGTCCTCACGAGTGTCACCTGCCCTCCCCCATTCAGATGCTGAGAATCTCTCAAGCCTAGAGGCTGAGGTTTTCTCATGCCCGCTCATCCTTATGGGCATCACCTTGCCTCCCCCATTCAGATGCTGAGCTTTCCTCATGCCCAAAAGGCTGAGACTGTCTCATGCCCACTCATCCTTATGGGTGTCACCTGTCTTAAGATCCACCTGGCCTCCCCCATTTAGAAGCTGAGAACCTCTCACACCCAGAGGCTGAGACTCTCATGCCTGCTCATCCTTACAGGCATCACTGATGTTTGCATTCCTTGAGAGTCTGGCCTATATGCTTTATCTTTAACAAACTATTTCTCTGGCTGGAGGAAGATTTGGGTTGAATTCATTCAGGCAGACCCAGCACCGCTGCGATCTTGGGGCGCCTCTGTGCATCAAGGAGCACCCCAAAACCTCTACCCCTCTTCAATTTGACTCCCTGGCACTTAGAACAGTGGTTGGCATATACCAAGTACCTATTAGATGCTTTTTAATTCATTCATTCATTCATTCATTCATTGATTCATTATTACAAGACTGAAAAGAGCATTTCTTCAGAGTCAGAATTTGAGGTAGGAAACCAGCATAGGGATAAGGGGACACTTCTCTGAATGGGGAAGTAGAAAGAATACCATTTCAAAGGGATTTGTTTCACTGGTTGGTCTTACTTAATGTTTGGGTAAATTATCTAGAGGGGGAAGGCTGCCTTTGTTTCTTGTTGTCTCAAGGTTTCCATCTTCTGTAATCTTCCTATTTCACTGTCTCTTTCATTATTATTATTATTGATGATGATAATTATAATAATAGTTACCATTCATATAGCACCTACTATTTGCCTGGCACTTTGCCAAGCACTTTATCTAATTCATCTCATTTGGTCCTCACAATAACCCTGAGAGGTAGGTGTTATTTGTATCCCTGTTTTACAGTTGAGGAAACTGAGGCAGTCAAAGGTTAAGTGACTTACCCAAGGTCCCATAGTAAGTGTCTGAGGCTTGATTTGAACTCGGTTCTTCCTCACTCTATCCACTGCACCACTTAGCTGTCTCTCTTGAGGCCAGACATGTTCAAGATATGGGTCTGATTCTTAGGACATCCCAGAAGGTACTTGAAGCTTGGCTTACATGTGAAAAAAGTTTGAGAACTTCACTGAGCATCATAGCTGGAAGGTGCCTTGGAAGACCACCCAAGTTTCCATTGACATTTTTTGAGTTGGAAGGAACCTCTGTGGCCATCTGGACCAATTTACACCCTGAAAGAAGAATTCTCACTACAACACACCCAACAAATGGTCAGCACCAGCCTGGAGGCCCCTAGTGAGGGGGTGTCCCACCAGCTTCCTGAACCAGCCATTTGCTTCTACTTTGGAACAGCTGTCATGATTAAGAAACTTCTTTGTCTCAAGCCTCAGTTGGCTACTTTGTCATTTCCCCCCATTGTCCCTGGCTCTGCTTCCTGGAGGCAAGTAGAAAGCTACTTCTTCCTCCATAGGACTGTCCTTCAGATACTAGAAGATGCTATCACCTCCTGGCCCCACCTCCTATCCCCAAAGTCTTCTCTTCTCCAGGCTAAACATACATAGTTTCTTAAATTGCTATTCATATGACAAGGACTCGAGGCCTTCCAACACCATGGTTGCCCTCCTCCAGATACTGTCCAGCTTATCACCATCTTTCCTAAATTGTGATGTCCAGAACCAAATAGAATGTTCTAGTTATGTTCTAATGAGGTCAGAGGACAGGGTTAACAGAACTAGTACCTCCTTGTTCCTGGAAACTATGTCCCTCTTTATGGAATCCAAGGTCCCTTTTCTGGCTGGTACATCCAACAACTGATGCATATTGAGCAAGTAGCCTACTAAAACTTTCAGATCTTTTCTAAGCTATTGTCTAACTGTGACTCCTTATCTTATACTTGAGTTCTTTTTTTAACAAAACGTAAAACATTTACTTAATTTAATTTAATTCCTATTAGATTCCTTCTACTAGATTCAGTCCAATGCTCTAGTTTGCCCAGGTCTTTTTTTGGATCCAATGTTGTTTTCTACATGGGGAAACTGAGTCCCAGAAAAGGGAAGGACTTGCCTAAGATCCCCTATTAAGCCAGAGGTAACACAAGCACCACAATATTAGCCTCTAGGCTCTCAGTACTCTCATCTTCAGGAGCCCCAGGGATGCTCCCCCAAAATACCTGCTCACCTGCCACCTGGGGGTATTTGAGAAGCAAGAGGCAGCCATAGTGCAGGGTGGCGCTGCTTGTCTCAGTGCCGGCAGGGAATGAATTCAGGATGGTAAAGATGAGGGACCTATGATCAAACTCAGAACCTGGGACCTCCTTCTCCTAGGGTGGTTGACAACAAATAGAGAAGGAGGGGGCACAGAGAGCCAGCAGAATCCTCCCATGTTTCTCAGTGCCTCTTCTTTATGGGGTCCATCTCAGAGACTGATTCTTCCTGTCTGAACTGATCTCTCTCCATTTATGTCTCCATTTTATTAGCCCTTATGTGTATTAGTGTTTCCCTTCCCATATCTCCCTCTTCCTCTCTCTTTGCATCACTCTTTTCTCTCTGTCTTGGTTTTTCTTCCTCCTCACCCCATCTCTCTATCTCTCCCCTTCAGCTTCTCCCTTCCTGTTGTCCCTCTCCCCATGCCTCTCTACCTCTCCATCTTTCCTGGGTTTCTCTGTGTCTCTTCCTGCCTCCTGTCTCTGTTCACACACACACACACACACACACACACACACACACATGCACACACACACCCATCACAGTCTTTTTTCTGTGAGTCTCACTAGTTCCTGTGTGTTGAGGGAGGGGAAGGGAGGAAGACTTACTTCCTATATGCGGAGCAGGAAACTGTCTACCAAGTCCCAAGGGGCACTGGGGTTCAGACTCTCTTGGTGCTTCTCAACATTGCTTGCAATGAATTCTTTGACATGCTGAGCAATTTTCAACACACGGCAATGGGGCCCAGGAAAAAACTTCAGCAAGTGTGGGAACTGTTCAAACAACTGGGGAGAGAGGGCAAGGGGTAGGACTCAGGCCTGACTGCCCCCCAACCCTCATAGGTCCTTTGGCTCTCAGCACACTTCACTGGAATTGATTCAAATGCTCTCCCTCTCACCATGACCTTGCCTTACCCTTAGCCCCAACCTGCCCCCTCCAAAAACCATATGTCTTTGTCCCCGGGCCCCTTTCTTTTGCCCTTCCTCCCTTTTCTTCCTTCTGGATGTTTATCCATGTGACTAGAAATATAATTTAATATTCCAGATGAATACTACACAGGAGCTATGTCATTGTCTCTCATAAATGTCACATATATTTGTGTCATATCCCTACTGAAACTAGGTGATACAGTTGATAGCAAGTGCTGAGTTCAAATTTGGCCTCAGACACTTACTGGCCATTGTGAGGATCAAATCAGGCAATCTTTGTAAAGGGATTCATAAACTTTAAAGTTCTGTATAAATAGAATTATTATTATCATCATCATTGTCATCATATTAGGCACTAGTAAGGTCATGCTGTCTCTTGCTCTAACATTATCATTGTGTGTCTGTCTCTTATCTTTTCCCTGTCTTTCTCAGTCTCTCCCTATATTTCAATAAGCCTTTTTTAATCATTTGCTATGTTTGGGTCCCTTTACTTGGCTCTGGGAATACAAAACAGTCTTCACTGCCTCCCTGCATCTCCTCTTTCTTGCATCCTTCCCTTTCTGTCCTCCTCTTTCCATTTCCCCTTATCTCCCTCCTGATGTGCTCCATTCCCTTGGTTCCCCTTTATTATCTCTTGGTTCCTTCTCTCTGTGTCCATGGTGTCTCCCTGTGCACCCTTGTGTTGTCCCTTCTTGGGTCCCCAAGTCACACCTGAATCCAGGAGGAGCTGATAATGGTGAAAGCTTCAGTTAACACATTCAACAGTCCCTGGAACTCAGTATCCTGGTATAAGAAGTACTTGCCAAACACAAGAGAACAGATGATGTTGGCCATGACTGAATGGAAAAGAAAGGTAGGGTCCAGAAGGACCCCTGGAGAAAGGAGAGATAAGAAAGGAGGGAATTTAGGTGGAATGGTAAGATGCTCCTAGGTGTCTACTATCTGTCTCTCTGTTTTCTTTGGTTGCCCAAGAGAATCTGTTTCTTTTCTCTCTGTGAAAATCCTTAGGGCCAAAGAAAATGATTAGCAGAGGGAGCAAATTCTAAAACTCCAGGAAGGGAAAAGGACCATCTCTTTTCACTTCTGGAGTCCATTCTGTGAAAGGAGTAGGAGAGAAAAGGACACCATCTGGGACTTGTCCTCTCTCCTTTTCTCTATTCTTTCCCATTCCATCTTTTGGAGGGGAGATGACAGAAGTCATGAACAGTGAGCCTGACAAGGGATCTTGGAGGAGAACCTAGAAGGGAAGAGTATATGCTGTATCACACTCAATGTTGCCCAGAACTGGCTGAGTGCCTGTAGCTACTATGAACCCTGTGGTTGGTGAACCAGGCAGAATTCCATCATCTCTACTTTTTTCTGGATCTTTGAGCACAAGATGAGAGTGTTAAAACTCTCTCCCCCATTCCTTTTTTATGAGATTGCCATTATGTGTGCTCTGGAAATAGCAACATCCACACTAAAGACATGGGAGAGAGTGGGTGTGGTGGGGAGGGTTTATATTGTCTTTTGCATTTCAAATACATGTTATTAAACCTATATGCTCACAACATACTAAGTGTCAGAATCTATGAATGGCAAGGCAAGAGATCTAAGAAAGAGAAATACTTATAAGGGGTGCAGATAATCAAACCAAAATATAAATAGTTTCATATTTTAATAATCAATTAATATACCATCTCCTAAACTAGAGAGTAACCCAAGAATCAGAGAAAAACCCCATACCAAACCCCATTTGGAGCATCCAACTGCCAGAAAGGCACTAACTCTGCACTAACCAGTGCAGAGAAGTGGCAAATTTAGAACAGCTCAGTAGAGTATTCCCTGGTGAGTAATAAAAATAACAACAATAATAGTCACCATTTATATAGCACTTAATATGTGCCAGGCATTGTGCTAAGCACTTTAAAATATTATCTCATTTGATGTTCATGACAGCCCTGGGAGATCCGTGCTATTATTATCCCCATTTTACAGATGAAGAAAGTGAGGCAGACAGAAGTTAAGTGATTTCCCCAGGGTCACACAGTTAAGAAGTATCTGAGGTTAGATTTGAACTTAGGTCTTTCTGAATCCAGATTCAGTGCTCTATCCACTGTGCCACCTAGCTGCCTCAACATATATATCTAGTAAAATATGTGTTGCACTCTGACTTAATTCAAGCCCTTTGACTAGATTTTTACATATGTAAAATTGGCACATATGAACCAATACTCTGAATGACTGCCACTACACCACAGGTGTTTACTTGCCTCGTGCAGATGTCACATGTTGGGAGACTCTGAGAAAGCCATCTTGAGTTTTATTTTATGCTTAATCTTTGTGCTCTGCCATACCCTTTCTTGTCTTTTTCTGTGTCTGTCTGAATCTTTATATTTCTCCCTTTTACTGTCTGTGTATCTGTCTCTTCTCCACATGTCTGCACCTGTCTCTGCTATCTCCTCTCATTACCCTGGGATTTCCGGAGTTCCTCTACCAAGCATTGGGCTTCAGTCTTTATGTTCTCTTTAACACTCTTCTTTCCCATCCCCAAGTCCCTGAGGGTAGTAATTGAGAATCTGTGAGGTGTGCTCCAATGTTGTTGTCTACCACTAGAAAAGAACCCTGGGGGAAAGAGAGGATGGGAAGGAGAGAGGGAGGGAGCAGAGACTCTTCCCCACTCATATCATCAACATACCACATATTTAATCCTCAAGTCCATGCCGTCCAACATCTCCCCCACATAACTCTTTTTGGGTCTTACTATTCTTGTCCCCAACATTCCTCGCCCCCTCAATTCTCTTCCCCCACCCTGATGTCCCCTTCCATCCTCTTTTCCTAGGTTACTCTTCTCTGGCTTTCCCTCCCTTTTCTCCAACGTCCCTCTTCCACATATCTTATCCATTACATTATTCCTCCCTGACTCCCTATCACCCTCCTACCCTAATCTGCTCTCCCTAGCTCTTTCCTGGATCATTTCCCATAGCTCATCTCCCCCAGGTCACTGATTCCCAAACTTCTCTGGCTTTCTCTCCTTCTGCACCTCAAGTCTCATCCTGATTCTGGTCTTCATCATCCCACTGTCTTTGCTCACTGAGTTCCTCCGGTCCTGATCCTCACCCTCTGCCCTACCCACACACATATAGTTTCCCCACATCCTGCTCACCATATCCCTGGAAGACTGAATCAGATATGGCAAGGATGCCATGGCCACAGAACACCTTTACATTCTTCACCACAGCTTCTTTCACAGCCTCTGGTCCACACATGACAACCACTGGCTGGGTACCCAGGTAGACAGTGAACACATCCCCATACTTATCTTGAAACTGTGGGGTAGATCCACCCACTTTGTCATGCTCCTGACAGGTCCTGGATACTCCATGGTCTCAACCCTGTGGCCACCTCTGTTGTGGGCCCCTGGCATGGATCTAAAACTGAGGTCTTAGATAATATGATCTCTAACTTCTTTCTCAGATTAGCATCCTCTATTCTAAGGTCAGCTAGGTGGTGCAGTGGATAGAGTACTGGGTTTGTAGTCAAAAAGACTCATCTTCCTAAGTTCAAATCCAGCTTCAGACACTTACTAAATGGGTGATGCTGGGCAAGTCACTTGACCCTGTTTGCCTCAGTTTCCTCATCTATAAAATGAGGTGCAGAAGGAAATGGCCAACCACTCTACTATCTTTGCCAAGAAAACTTCAAATGGCATCCCAAAGAGTCAGACATGACTGAAAAGAACTGAACAACAAATTCTAAGGTCCTTTCAAGTTCTGACATCCTTTGTTTTATACTCATAGAATCTTAGATATTTAGAGAGAAAAGACTTTATTGATTATTTGGTCCAGAGATGTAAAATTCTTCATCTTACAGATGAGAAAACTGAGGGCCAGAGATGCTAAGTGATTTTCCCCAAATTACACAGCTGGTAAGTCAAGTCAATAAGCATTGATTACAAACATCCTATGATTCAGGCACTCTGTGTGCTAAGCACTGGCAATACTAGGAAAAGCAAAAGTAGTCCCTACCTTCAAGGAGCTCACATTCTAATAGAGAAAACAACATATCAACAACTCCATACATACAAGTTATATCCAGGGTAAATGAGAAAATCTCAGAGGGAAGGCACTAGCAGTAGCATGGACAGAGAAAGGCTGGGATTTCAGCTAAGAAGTGAAAGAATCAGGATTTACACCCATGTTCTCAGACCCCAAATCCTCAAGCAATTCTCCCTTTCCTTTTTCTTCTGTCTTCACCTGCTTCTATATCCAGCCAAGACCTCAGACCTTGCTCCTTTAAGTCATTGATGTAGGGCTAGAAGCCACTTAATTCAACATCATCATTTTACAGATGAAGAAACTGAGGCAAAAGAGTGAAGTGACTTGCCCAGGGTCACACGGCTATTAAGTGTCTGAGGCTAGATTTGAATTCATCTTGAAGATGAGTCTTCCTAACTCCAAGCCCAAGTGCTCTTTGCACTGTGATGCCACCTATCTGCAGAAAGGACCTTAGAAGTTACTTAATTCAACATCATCATTTTATAGATGAGGAAACTGAGGCAAAGAATTTGAGTGGTTTGCCTAAGGTTGTACAGGTAATAGGTGGTAGAACTGGGATTTGAACCGAGGTCTTCCAGACATCAGACCTAGTGTGTCTATCCACAAACCATACACATACTTGCTTCCAGAGGTCGCCTTCTTTGAGGACCTCTCCCCTTTTACCAGTGGTCTGACCTCCCACGTCTCCCTCATTGATAAATAATTTCAGCATATTTAATCCCAGGAGAGCAGACATCAGACCCAGATCTTATCTTGGAAGGTATCCAGGGTTCTCCAGCATACTCCTCTCCCAAATCCCCTCTTCTTGAGGGATATCAAAGCACTCCTTTCACCAGGAGAGAAAATAGAGCAGGCAACTATGTCATTTAGGCAGCCCCAACACTGCCCTGGCCCAGGGAGGTCCTAGGCCCACTCAGTCACCCAGACAAAAGGACAGCTCACCACCAAGAACGACATGATGATGCCATGGCAGGCAATGTGCAGCAGGTTGCCTAGCAGAGGCAAAGGTGAGGGCCCTGAAGGGAGGTTGCCTTTCTGGGGTCTGTGGGCTAGGAGCAGAAGGAGCCCCAGGAAGATAACCAGGAGGAGGAATCTTCCAGCATCCATGGCTTGTCCTCTGATGGTCCAGTTGCCTCCTTCCTCTGCCTGCTGCTTGGCCTGGACCTTTATCCCAGCCAAGAAAGGAGGCTCTACCACCACCCCCCCACTCATGGTTAGGTAATTATCATTCCTAAAGGACTGGCTCGCCCCCTCTTAGCCTTCAGGCTGAGACAACTATTACAGGACCAGATGGTCCTTCCCTGGTCCCATGCCTGAGTAGGGTGTACCTGTTCCCCTTATGGGCCACCTGGCTCTGCCTGGCCCTTTGTCTCTTCCTGTCCCTCCTCTTCTCTTCCCCAGAGGATAGTCAGGAGGAGGGGGCCTATAGGCCACAGTCTCTCTCAGTCAATCTGTTTCTATTTCAGTATGTAGGGCCACTCCCACACCCAACCTACACTATGGCCTTACAGATCCCATGCTGATCCAGTCATAATTGTCTGAGTGTTTACTGGTGAGGTAGGATGGCTCATAACTTTCCCTAGATGCTAATTAGTGCAGGTGAAAGGTGATCTGACCTGTGGATCTGGAGGAGGACTGTGGATCAGCATGAACCCCCAGCTCAGACCTGAGCCAAACTCACGTGAGGCTGGGGATGTGGAAGACTTTCCTTCTACCACTTTAGGCTTGAATTCAGTTGCTGTCCAAAGGCTGGATCCTTAGCAAGCAGCCAGGATGATACAGGTTTCCCAAGTCCCTATTATATATTGATATAAGTATCAATTGAAGGAGTTTGGGGTATTTAGCCTAGAGAAGGGGAGACTGGGCAGGGTGGGGGTGAGACAGAGCATGTGATAGATGTTTTAGAGAATTTAAAAGGCCATCCCATGGAAAAAGCATTAGAGTGTTCCATTTGGACCCAGAGAGCAGTACTAGGAACAATGGGTGGAAAAGGCCCATCTGGGCAAGAGGTCAGGAAAAGCTTCCTAATAATTAGAAGGGTCCTAAGGCAAAATCAGTGCTGAGAGGTTCCTCTTCAGTAGAAGTATTCAAGCAGAGGCTCAGTAGCAACTTATTGGTTATGTATTAGTAGGAATTCGAAGAGGGGGGGATGAATTGAACTATATGACCCCTGAGGTCACCTCTAGCTCTGACATTCTGTGACCTATGACCTATGAACTGGCCCTGCCCTCAAGGAGACCCTGGTCAGAGAGAAGTAATTGTTCAAGTGTTGAGGAGTTGGATATGATGACCTCAATGACTGACGTTCTGTGATCTGTGATCTGTGATCTGAGGGAAAAGACACAGTCCTTGGGGAGGCCTCACTCTGGTGCTCTCTGAAACTGACCCTGAAGCTCACCATTCCCACATATAATGACCTAAACCACCTGGTGCCAGCAACCATGAGTGGCACCATCACCTTTCCCAGGGCAGCTTAACCTTGACTCGTGTAAGCTGGCAGTGCACATGATTCTCTTTCCCTATCTGCGCTTCTTTATGCCTAGATTTGCTCCACTGACTAGCTGTGGTAGCCAACAGTACCACACTTTAACTATGCCAGAGCTCATCCAGCAGATGTTTGATGTAAAAAACACGATAGCTGTTTGTGATCCATGGCTCGGGCACTATCTTATGGTGGCAGCTGTGTTCAGAGGCCAGATGTCCATAAAGGAGGTAGATGAGCAAAGGTTCAATGTTCAGGACAAGAACAACAGTTGCTTTGTTGAATGGATCTCCAACAATGTGAAAATGTCCATTTTGTGACATCCCATCCTGGGGGCCTGAAAATGTCTACCACCTTCACTGGTAACACTACTGCCATCCAAGAGCTGTTTAAGTGCATTTCTGAGCAGTTTGCAGCATGTTGTTGAGAAAGGCTTTCTTACACTGGTATACTAGAGAAAGCATGGATGAAATGGAATTCATTGAAGCAGAAAGCAACCTGAATGATTTGGTTTCTGAACATCAACACTATCCACAGTTAAGGAGGAGGGAGAATTTGAGGAGGAGGCTGAAGAGGAGGTAGTGGAAAGTTGTGCATGGGTTACTCTGTAACCTATGTTGAAAGGGTGGCAGGGGACTTTCCCTAGTCTAACAGGGAGACTTAAGTTGTTGGGGATGGGGTAGGGAAGGAGTTTTCATATCAGAGAGAGTCTCTGGAGGCCTAGGTCAAGTCTGGCTTTGAAAGGAGTACATCATAGCAAGAAATTAGAATAAGAAGCACAGGTTGAATAGGGGAACATTGGAGAGAGTGCTATGATTTGACCAGCCATCTCCCCCAGTCCCTCTCCATGATTAAGGATAGTGGCTGATCCTTCAGGGGGAAAGTCTGGGTGGGAGCCCATCAGCACATAGTCCCCTGCAGGGACTGAGAACCCAGTTGGTGAAAGAAGGAAGAGAAATTAGATCAGGACTCAGTGGGCTCTTGGAGCTATGGATGGAGGGATTCCCAGCTACTCTTCTCCAATAGATGGCAGTTTCTCCTGGGATGGGCATCAGGAGTCCTGGCCTCTAGCCTGGGATCTGCTTCTGACTCCCCTCCAGTGAAGGACAAGGCAATTCATTCCATTTTGGAACAGCTCCAGCAAGATTTTTTTTCCTGATCTCACACTTGAATTGGCCTTTCTGGAACTTCCACCCATGGCTCCTGGTTCTGCCCACTGAAATAAAGCAAAGCTAGTTTAATTCTCCTCCACATGACAGTCCTTCAAATAAAGCTATCATCTCCTCCCTCCCTGAGTCTTCTCTTCCCCATGTTGAACACCTCTACTTCCTTCAACAACATTCACACAACCAGGACTCAAAACCCATCACCATCCTGGTTGACATCCCTCTGGGTACTCTCCAACTTATTATGGTCCCTTGCCTCAATTTTCCAAAGAACTAGGTTCAGAGTGGGCCCCAGGTAGGTCTTTCAGATTGTAAACTGAAGAGCATGTACTGACCTACTCAAGGTAACTTCCCTGTGCCATTGAAATGACAGGTTGTATACCCAGTTCTGAAGGACTCTCTTCTGCCTGCCCTTGCTAGTTGAGATCATGGGTACTACTCTCTTACCACACAGTAAGAAAAACAAGCACAAACTGGAGATCATGCAGAAGGATGGTTTTGGGTCTAGTGACCTTGTGCTGAAGTAGAGACAACATTAGAGTTGGGGTCCTAGAAAACCCAAGTTCAAATCCAGCCTCAGACACTTACTAGCTGTGGGGCCATGGGCAAATCACTTAACCTCTGTCTGCCTTAGTTTCCTCATCTGTAAAATAAGGATGATAATAACAAATGAGATACCATATGTAAAGTGTTGTACAAATGTTAAATTATTCTTATTATCATAAGAAGATTGCTTGAAGGAATTAGAAATATTTAGCCTGAAGAAGAGAAAATGGTGGGGTATGGACAACATGACAGCTATATTCAAGAATCTGAAAGGCTGTTGTGTGGAAAGAGATGTTCTGCTTGGCTGTAAAGAGCAGAAACAAGAGGAATGGGTGAATGGGTTATAAAGAAGTAGGTTTAGGGGACAGCTAGGTGGCACAGTGGATAGAGCACCAGCCCTGGATTCAGGAGGACCTGAGTTCAAATCCAGCCTCAGACACATAACACTTACTAGCTGTGTGACCCTGAGCAAGTCACTTAACCCCATTGCCTAGCCAAAAAAAAAAAAGAAGTAGATTTAGGACTGAGGTCAGGAAAAAGTTTCTGATCATTAACCCTGGCCAAAAGAAGCATGGGCTGCCTGGGGAAAGAGGTGGCTCTCTCATGCCTAGAGAGGCTAGATGGCTGCATGAGGCAACATTGTCCAATGGATTCTTCTATGGGCAAAGATTTGTCACTGAGATCCTTCCAACTCTTTCATTCTTGGATTCTGGGTGGAGAGAAAGGCACCATCCCCCAGGACTAGAGATAATTATAAAAACTAATTAATACCCAAAAAAAATGCACAGGCAAAGGAGGAAGAATCCAACCACAGAGAGCTAGTTTGGGGTTTGTCCTCAGAGGAGGATACTGAAGCAAAGAAACCTTCTTCTACCCCAAAGAGTATTGTCAAATGGTCACCTCCCCAGGAAGAATTCATTGAAGAACTAAAAAGACTTTAAAAATCAAATGAGAGATTAAGGAAAAGCTAAAATGGAAAATAAGAATAATCCAATAAAAACAATAGGATTATGAAAAGAAAGTCAACCAATTAGAAAAGGAGATCCAAAATCTTAAGGAATGACTCCTTGAAAATCATAATTTGGCAAGGGGAAGACTGGCTGCGCACATGACACTTTTTTTTTCTTTTCTTATTTTATATTTAAGTTTATAATGTTTCTTTCTCTTTTCTTGTTATGTATTTAAGTTTTAGCTTTTGTCCAAAATTTAAAAAATTAAAAGAAAAAAGAAAACAACAACATAGTTTAAATTAACTCAAGAAAAAATGGGGGAGACATGAACATGTTTGTAGGTAGCAGAGAAGCGGCAAATAGATTGAGAGATGCGGGAGTTGGAAAGAAAATGCGATGATAGAGGTGGCAACCTGCTAAGGAATGTGAGATGGAATAGGATGAAGAGTGTACATAAAAAAAGGTGCTTTGGTGAGGAGTAGGACCATCTCTTCAAGTGAGGCAAGGGAGAAGGAAAAGATAGTGGGGGAAGACATCTAAGCAACATCAGATGAGGAAGAGGAGAGAAAGCATTGTCTAAGAATAACCTCTATTTTTTTTATGAAGTTTTATGAGGCAACATCCTCAGGTCAGAGAGGGGAAGAGATGCCACGGGAGGCTTGAGAAAGGATGAAAAGGCTTGGAGTAGTCACTGTGGTGAGCTGGAGAGCAAATTCGTCAGGTGTAACTGGTTTTGCCTCAGTGAGGGCTCATTTCAGATTATGTAACACATTTGTAGTGAACCCAGTCAACACAATTTTGTGATTTTCCCTGGCTCTGTTCAGCAGCACATGAGTAGGAAAGAGGGCATCAGATTGTGTAATCCAAGGCTAGGGTTTGTCAAGACATGTTCAACAACAGGATGAGAGGGCAAGAGATTCAAGTGCAAGAAATGGTGTAGAGTTTAAGTGATTCATCAATGGGTCAAGATAGGAAAGGTAGAAAACCATGATGGGTTGCGGAGGGTGGAGGAATGTGGAGATGGTCTGGGAAGGAACTGAGGAGTTCTAGGATTGGAAGTCAAGGTGAGGATGAAGAACAGGGTTAGAGGTCATGAAGCAGAAAAGGCAGAAGGAAAGATAGAATGATAAAAATTATCAACAGATAAAGGAATTTCAGAGTTCATGAACTCGGTGGAAGTGGACCACTCACAATTGTAGGTGATGGAAAGATCAAGGTATAACCATCTATCTGTATAGCTGAGTAGACTGAAGAACTAGGAAGTTAGTGTTTGATGGAACATTGATATGTATGTCTAGATTCTCTAGTAGGAGGGCAAGACTTGGGGAGGAGAGACAGACAGTAAGCCAGGACTCAACTCACTGAGGAAGGAAGAGGACTGCCTGAGAGCCAGTAGACAACAGCCACCAGGATTTTGATTGGGTGCTAAATGTGGATTGAATGAACTTCAAAGAAGGAGAGGTTAGTGAGTACCAATAGTAGAGGGAGAACCTGGAAGTGGCAATGGGGAGCAAGAGGAATTCCAACTCTCCCACCATGACCAATGAGTCAAGGGTTAGGAATGAAAGGAGAAAAAGTATGGGAAAAGGTAAGCAGAGAAGCCATGCCATCAGGTTGAAGCAAGGGCTCAGTGAGTAGCAGAAGATGGGGAGAGTGAGAAACAACAAAATGGAAGATGAAAACAAGTTTGTTAATTATAGTACCAACATTCCAGAGAGCACAGTGGAAGTGGAGGTGATAGGTAGATTTGGAGTAGGATTCTGCTGTGCTAGACTTGGAGAAGGAAAGAAACAGCCCTTGAAGAGAACTCAGTCTAAAGGAGAGACTCACCCTTGCCCTGGGGAGTTCCCATGCCCATCCTGACTGAGAACAATTGTTGTTTCTGTCCAACTTGGCTTCAAAAACAGCATACCCTTCCAAGCAATTCAGAATCAAGATTGAGCTTGGTACATTGGTTGGAAAGATTTTTCCTGGTTTGTCTTCTCCTCCTTCCCCTCCCTCATCAGCCCACCAGTTCCATGGAAGAAGTGGGTTGTTAAGATTTCAAAGAGTGGAACTCGGGAATCTACCTGGGCAGGAGCCCAGAGAAACATAGCATAGCCCCATCCCATAGCTCAGTCTCATAGCAAGGACCAAGAAGGTGGATGCCAGGATGGTACATGGAGAAGGAAGCATAGAAACTGGGTTAGACTTCATCAGGGACTTAAAGCTGTAGAAGTGGGACAGGGATACCCAGGTTCTCTGCCCTGAGAGATAGGAGATACGTGGAGCTGGGAGTCAGAAGACCCAGCCTCTACCCTTGATTCTGACCCCCACCCCAAGGCTACTGAGTGACCTTAAACAAGTAGATCCCTTCCCCTTCCTGGTCTTATTTCCCCATTTCTTAAAAATGTAGGATCATAGATCCCATAAATTGGGATCATAGACCTGAAGCTGAAAAGGACCTTAAGATCCATCTGGTCCACCCCCCTCATTTTACAAATTAAGAAACTGAGGCCTAAAAAAAGTGAAATGACACCCCTAAGGTCACCTAGGCAGCAGAGATCAGAGGCCAGATTCAAATCTAGGTCCTCTGACTCCAGAACCAAGGTTTTTCCCACTACCCCACTTTACTGCCTGGAGAGAAAATGAGATCATTCACCACTGTCATTTCTTTGGAAAATCAGACCACCCTTGGTGTGGAATGTCATAAACATGACCCTTGTGTCTCTTTATTTTGCTTAACTGTTTTCCTTTGTTACAAGGAAAGGCTCATGGGAGCAGGGGAAGGGGGACGATATTCAAAAATTACTAGGATATAAAACCAAAAACTGTCAATTAAATTTTTAAATGCTTTATTTGAATAGTACAGTATGGAAAAGAGCAATCATCTTGTATACCCAGTGCCTAGCATATTGTTTTGCATACAGTAGGTGCTTAATAATCACTTCTTAAAATAAAGAAGTGAATCAAAATTGAGTAGATTGGACTAGGTCATTTCTGAAGGGAACCCCCCCCCATGAACAGAAAACCCTCCAGCATTATACCTTCCAAGGTCCCTCTTGACCCAGAATATCTGGTTATCTGATGTTTACATAGCACTCTAAGAGGCTGCCTAGCAGAATGGATACAGAGCTGGCCTCAGAGACCAGAAGACCTGTGTTCAAGGTGCATCTCTGACCATCCTGGCAGGGTCACCTGGGACAAATCACTGCAGCTAAGGTTGCTCCTGCAACTACCCAAGTTCATTTGCTGAAAGCAAATGTAGACTTGAGGACTGTATCAGGCGTTCCCTCCATCCACAAAATCAAAGGCCCCATTAAAAAAATCATAATGCTTTTCATGCATAATCTCAGTTGAGTTTCAGAACATCCCTGTAAGATTGGTACCAATAATATTATTATCTTCCTTTTGCAGAGGGACAAAAATTAAAGGGATTTCTCTCTGGTTGCAAGGCTCAGTAAGTCAATGTCACAGGAAGGATATGAAGCCAGGTCTTCCTGACTCCCAATCCAACACTCTATTTGCTTTGCCACCGTATGGTTTGATCCTCTCTCCTGGGATGGAGGCTTCATGATCACCCAGTTTAGTGCACACAAGAGCACCAAGGATGGTTCTGAACCCTCTTAGGAGATAGGCTGAATATGCAGCATGTAAGAAGGAGGTTAGACTATAGGAGGAACCTTGAGGATGGGTCACTTACCAGAAACATAGCATCATTACTGATAGAGATTTGGAAGGGACTTCAGAGGCAACCCACTAATTTTATTGACAAGGAAACTGAAGCTACTTCTATTCCCCCTTTCTGCTCAGGTTTCCCTCATCTGACTGTGGTAAGTGGTGCTATGTCCCCTCTGCTCTCTTCTCAGCCCGGTTGACCTCTGGGATAGTCTGTTTGATGAAGATAGGGAGGTTAGCCCAGTGGCTGCTTCTCCAAGCCTCGATCACGAAGGGAGCTTCAGCGGGGGTGGAATCGAAGCTGGTAGATGGGAGGCACATTGCCCACTCCACTCAGCCTTGGAGTAAGGTCAATGCTATCAGGATCCATGGAGGAGCTCAAGGAGAAGTTCTGTAGGATGATGGTGAAGAAGAGGAAAAGTTCCATCCGGGCAATGCCCTCACCCAGGCATATTCGTTTCCCTGAGGGTACAGAAAGGAGTGTCATGGAGGCCATTGTCAAGGGTACCCCACCTCCCAAGGACCATCTTGGAAGTGCACAAAATACTTCCTTCATGTCCACCAGGAGAGAGCAGCAACATAAATGTTTTCTCCTGATTCCCACAGGATCAGAGGGTGAGAGCTAGAAGGGACCTCAACAGGCATCTAGTCCAAGCCCAAGAGACCCAGGGAGGTGAAATGATTCAGGATCACAGTTCTCTAGCTGGAAGGGACCATAGAGGTCATCTGGTTCAAGTCCCTCACTTACACGTGAAGAAACTGAGGCTGAGAGAAAGGAATGCCTTGCCCAGGGTCACTCTGGGGGAAAATGAGAGGGCTCAGACTTGGGTCAGCAACAAACTCTATGGCCTCCAGTGTCTATATGCAAATCCACCATAGAAGAGAAAGAAACGGAAGGAGCCAGAGATCTCAATGCAAGGAGGCAAAATGTTATCTCATGGGTACACTAAGGCTTGGAGAGATGGAATGTATGGCCAAAAATGTGATATCAGAAGGATGGGGTGTATCATATTCCAAAGGAACAGAAGAGGCAGCAGAGGGGCATTATATATTAAGAAGACAAATTCGTGTGACAATATTCAGGAAATAAAGTACAGAAGCAGGGTGGAGGACATTTGGGTGAAGATCAATGGAGAAAAAAAAGAGAGAGATTGTTTCCTCTGCAAAATGCTGCCTTTAGGGGCAGCTAGGTGGCACAGTAGATAGAGCACCAGCCCTGAAGTCAGGAGGACCTGAGTTCAAATCCATCCTCAGACCAAACACTTGACACTTACAAGCTGTATGACCCTGGGCAAGTCACTCAACCCCAATTGCCTAAAAATTAAAAATAAATTCTGCCTCTAATAAACCTTGATAAAGGTTGAGATTGATTATAATCCTTCATGCTTGAAGAGGACTAAAATGACATCACTATGTTGGGGTTAAGGTACAGTGTGTCCGACTGTGGCTGATAAAACCAATAAGTACTTGGAAGGCTCTACCAGAGGTCACAAATAGTCCATTCAAACACTTGGAATGGAAGTGTCTAACTTTGTGCATCTCACATTTCTTTTGAGCTACTGCAATTCTGCTTTGCTGATAGCGATATGATAAAATTTAGGTTAATAAAGAAAGATAAATAAAAAGAGGTGTGTTTATGTTATATGATATATGCATTATATTGTATTTGTATATAAATACACACATATGGAGGAGACATCTGTGGGCCTTGGGGTTCATTTATCCAATATCCCCCATCTTTCCCAATGGCCTCTCAGTTTCCAGGTCAGCCTGAAGTGACAGCCTAGAGACAGAGACAGCCTAGGGCTGGTTGTCTTTAACTGGCCCTTGAGGAGAAGGTCCCCAGGGAGAGTCTCTATAGGCCCTGGGGACAGTACTTACCTGAAGAGAAGGGAATAAAGGCTTCACTCTTCTTCAGAGATCCCTGAGCATCCAAGAAATGGTTTGGGTCAAAGGCATGAGGTTTCTCAAAGTACCTGGGATCATGCAGGACTGTGGTCAGGAGAGGGTACACTTCAGTGCCCTGCCATGAGAGGAGGGTGTCATCAGAAGTAGAAAGTGAGCTCCACTAAATCTTCCCCATCACCCGAGAACAGACCATCAAGGCTCTCCAGAGCCAGGTCATAACCTGGGCAAGCAGAGCCATGCTGAGGCAAGGTAGATGTAGCTTGGCCTAGAGCCAAGGGTACATGAGGGTTGAGATTTGCAGAGATGCTGGGGCAAGCCCCAAGTCACTGTAGGCACCAGGAGACCAGATCACCCTGATGCACATCAGAGCTTGGACCCTTGGAGAATGAGGCAGTGGCAAGAAGAATGCCCATCAGTTTCCACAGACCGACAAAGGTTGGAGTCTGCACAGGCGTAGAGTTTATCTAATCCAGCAATCCTATCATGGAGATGAGGAAACTGAGGTATAGAGAGGTAATATCTGTGTCACTAGATTCTGCTCTATCTAACCTTCTATCTAATTCTTTGTTTAAGACCTAAATTCTGCCTCTGGCTCTTTTGGTGACATATGTTCAGTATATGGGGTAAAGCAATGAGAGAAACCTATTTTAAAGTGGATATAATTTTATTGTTAAATTTTATTCTCTCCAGACTTTGGTTTCTTCCCCTATAAAATAAGTGCCTTGGAATAGATCTCCAGGGTCCCCATCAGTGTCAACACTCTATCTTTTCTTCTTTATGATTTCTTAGAATGCCAGCATTCTATTTTCAATGTTCTTTCTAACTCTGGAAATAATTTAAGAACTTTCCAAATTCTAGCATTCTCTTTCTTTGTTCTAACTTTCCTTTCAGCTTGGCATTTGATGTTCTATGTTCTCAGAACTCTTAGAACTCTATTGTTCTATTTTCTGTGTTGCAAGTGCCCTTCCAGGTTTGACTTTCTATGTTCTAGGATGGAGTCATCTAGTCATGGGTTCCATGGGATCCTGAGCTACTTCACATGAGTTAGAAGTGAATGGCTCAAAAGATCCTGGGAATGCTATTGATCTCACCTTGGGAAGGAGGTAGCCCCTGAAAGAGGTGTCCTGGGTCACAGAATGGGGTACACTCATAGGGAGGAGGTCACCAAATCTCTGGGTCTCATGGATGACAGCATCTGTGTAGGGCATTTTGGCTCGATCTTTGAGGTCTGGAAGACGGTTCCTCCCAATCACCTGGTCAATCTCCTCCTGGACTTTCTCTGGGGCAGAGGAAAGGACATATAAACCCAATTCACAGGAAGTGCCCCAGAAAGGAAAAACTACATATACAAACATACATACATACATATACACACACATATATATACACATATATTGTGTGTATATATGTATGTATATGTGTGTATACACATATTATATATGCAGGTATATGTGTGTATACACGTATTATATATGCAGGTATATGTGTGTATACACGTATTATATATGCAGGTATATGTGTGTTTATTTTAAATAACTGAGTGAATTTATCCATTTAGATGGAAGCCAGAATAGCTGTACGGAATCCTTGGGAGACAGCTTCCCATGGGAGAGTTTGAGCTGTTGAAAATTATCCATAGCACAGGAGGACACAGGGAAAGCAACCACATATATATCTCTTGCCCTTTGAGTCATTTCTCAGAGTCCTTTGCCAGAGATGGGGGCTTAGGAACTGAGGCTGAAGAAAACTTCTCTCTGGCCTGTCATCTTGTGACTAACTATAACAGGCTCCCTCCCTCCACCTGATCTCCACCTCCACTCAAAGCCTTTGCTTATCTCCAATCTCTGGGCAGAAGAGTTCCTCCCTGGAGCTGCTCTATTTACCCACCTGCCACCCAGGGGTATTTGAGGAGCAGGAGGCAGGCATAGCGCAAGGTGGTGCTGGTTGTCTCAGTGCCCGCGAAGAACAGTGACATGACAGTGAGGATGAGGTTTCTGTAGTGAAACTCAGTGTTAGCAATTCCCTTTTCCTAGGGAAAAGAAGGAGGAAGTTAGAGAGAAAGATAAAGATGAAGGAGGCCATAGGTTACCCTCAGAGTCTCTCCTTTCATATGTCTGAATCTCCCTTTCTCTTCACCTCTGTCACTAAGGCTCAGTCTCTCTAAATCTCTCCATCTTGGTCTCTGTCTCTCACCGCCTTTTTTTTCTCTTTTCATCTCCTCCTTCTGTCCCTCTGACTGTATTCTCTTCCTTTGTCTCCCTCCATCTTCATCCTCTATTTCTACCTCTTTCTGGCTCTTGGGCTCTCTTTGCTATCTACACACACACACACACACACACACCATGTCCTTCTCTCTCTCTTCTCTGTTTTTCCCTCCTTATGCCTTTTCATCTCCCATTCAGTTCATCTTTCCCTGATTCCCTCCTTTTCTGTCTCTTTTCTCTCACCTGTGGTCCTTTTATTTCTAGTCCATAATTCTAGAGTAGGAAAGAACCTTAGAGGACATCTAGTCCAAATCCCTCAGCTTACAGATGGGGAAACTGAGGCCTAGAGAAGCTAAATGACATGCCTTTGGTTACATGGGTAGTAAATGATAAAGGTGGAATTTTAACCAGATCCGGTGCTCTTTTCACTGAACCGCATTGCCCCTCTCTCTCAATTCAATTCATCTAGCAACTATTGTGCCTACCAAGTAGTGAAAGACATCTTGCCAAATGCTGAGAATATAAAGATAAAAACAAAACAGTCCCCTTGGGGAGTTTCAATTCTATTTAAGGACAAGGGAAATATAACACAGAGATAAATAAAACCAAAGTCCACATACAAAGTACTATGAAGTAATTTCAAGAAAGAGATAGCATAAACAACTGGGGGCAGTAGGAAACCCCTCATGTAAGAAGTGGCCCCTGAGCTGGGCTTTGAAGCAAACTAGAGATTCTATGAGGCAGAAGAAAAGAGGGATGGCATTTGAGGTATGAGACACAGCTTGTACAAAGGCAAGGAAGCAGGCCACAGAATCGCCTGTGAGCATGAAGAGGAGAGCTTGAAGGCAAGTTTGATTAGAATAGGAAATTCACAGAGGAACAATGTAAGAGATAACTGAAAAGAGAAGCAGATTGGAAGGTTTTAGGTGCCAGACTGAGATTTTTTTTAATTTTATTCTAAGATGATAGGAAGCCCATGAAAGTTCTTGAAGAGAGGACAGAAATAGTCAGGTCTATGCTTTAGGAATACCAACTTAGCAGCTGTGAGGGTTCATCAGATTGCAAGCTCCTTGAGAGCTGGGATTGTATTTTTGCCCCTTTTTGTATCCCCAATGCATAGCACAGTGTCTGGCATACAATAGGAATGGAATAAATGTTTATTGACTGATTGACTGGAGGCTAGATTAGAGAGGGGGAAAATTGGAAGTAAGGAGGCTAATTAAATAGCTATTACACTCAACCAGCTAAGAGGTACTATGGGCTTGAACTAGAAGAAAAGGCATGTGAGTGGAACTTAGTACTGAGTTGCTATTGAGGGTGAAATGATAAGACTTGGAGCATTACTGAACAAGGGGTGCAAGAGAGAATTAAGGGTCAAGGCTGACTCTGAGGTTACAAAAGGGGATAACTGGGAAGTGGTGATGCCATCACTAGAGACATGGAGTTTGGAGGATGGATAGATTGGGAAGAGGTAGAGGGGACGTGAGGTCCTTTTTTGATATCTTCATTCTTTCATTTGATAAACTTTATTAAACACCTGCTATGTGCCAGGCATTGTGCTAAGCACCGGGGATACAAAAAGAGGCAAAAGACAGTCCCTGCCCTCAAGGTGCTTAAGATCTAGTTGGAAAGCTTACAATCTGAGGTGTCTCTGGGATCACAGCTGCAGAAGGAGCTGTCCAGCAGGCAGAGAAATGAGAGCTGGCTCTGTAGATTTGCCTCCGCACCCCTACATAGAAGTGGTCATTTAACCCGAGAAGGGTAATGGAGCAGTTAATGAACGCACCAAGGAAGGAGAGAGAGAAAGAGAAAGGGAGTGGGGCTCAGAAGAGATAGAACTTTGGAAAAACCCTCTCTGTCTCTCTCTTTCTGTTACTGTGTTTATCCCTCCTTCCTTTTCTATCACACTCTCTGTAGCTCTCTCTCATTCTTTATCTTCCTTTCCTTCTATAACTCCCTTTCTTTTTGTCAAACTCTCTTGGCTTCTTTCCTCTCTGTCCCTGCCCCAGAAGAATAAGGAGTGCTGGCCACCAAATTTCACCAAGAGAACAATTGGATTTCATTCTCACTTTCTCCCTCCCCTCTTCTGTCTTTCCCTTTCCCCTCTCCCTCCATCTCTGTCTCTGTCTGTCTCTCTGTCTCTGTCTCTCTGTCTGCCTCTGTCTGTCTGCCTGTCTATCTGTCTCTCTATCTCTCTCTCTCTCACACACACACACACACACACACACACACACACACACACACACGGTGGCAGTGTTTGGAGGGGAGGGATTGCCCACCTTCTCCATACGGAGCAAGTACATATCAATGAAGTCTCGGGGGGGCACTGGGGTCCAGGCTCTCTTTGTGCTTCTCCACATTTTCAGCAATGAATGCATTGATGGATGTCAGGTTGTTGTGGACACACCGATGGGGACCAGGAAAGAACTTCAGGAAACCTGAAAACAGCTCAAACACCTGATGTGGAGGAAGGGGGAAAGATAGAATAGGATGAGTCCTCAGACTTCCATAGGCACCAGCATTCCTCCAAGCCTGGGCCACCCTCCTTCTGTCCCTCCTCTAATGTACCTGCTCCCTGTGTTCTCCCCCTCCCTGTTTCTTTGTGCCCACTCCTTCCTATGTCCCTATCATCTATTTTCCTGTTTCCTTTCCCTGTGTCCTCCCTTCCCTGTGTCCCTGTGCTCTGATGTCCTTCAATGCCTTCTATTTTTCTGTGTCCTCCTTTCCTTCTCTTTCTCCCAGTGCCACCCTATCCCTGTAGTCCCAAGCCCCACCTGGCCCCAGAGAGAGCTTGCAAGAGCAAACGTGTTGTTGAACTTGTTCAGCAGCTCCTGGAACTGTTTATCATGATAGGAGAAGCGTTCACCAAACACAATGGAGCAGATGATGTTGGCTGTGATAGAGTGGAAGAGGGCGGTGGGGTCCAACAGGGCTCCTAGGGAAAGGAGAGAACAGAAAAGGAGTGGAGGGAGTGGGGGAGGAGTGGAGAGAAGAGGTTCAGGAGGTCAGTGGGAAGCTCCCATGTCTCCAGGGTTTCTGCTTCTTTGTTTCTCTTTGTTCCCCTGTTTCTACCTTGGTATAATTACTATGCTTCCCCCCAACTCAGCATCTGGGGAAAGGAAGTTCCTTCCCACCCCCAGGGTTTAGCCCCAATCCTTTATGCCTCCCTGGTGGTCAGATTCTTTGTTGTTCTCTTTCTCAACTTCTGTCTCTGGGCCTATCTCTATAGCTCTCAGTATATCTCTCTGTATACTTCTCTTTCTTGATGTGTCTCCTTGGCTGTTTTTATCTCTATCTCTGTTTCTAATTATGCCTGCATCCTTTTTCTCACCCTTGGATTTCTGGAGCTCCTCAACCAGACACTGGGCCTCCTCTTGGATTCGTTCTTCAATGCTTCTCTTCCCCATCCCAAAATCTCGAAGAGTGGCCAGAGAAAATCGGCGCAAAGTCTTCCACGTATCACCATTGGCAAAGATAACCCCTAAAGGGAAAAGGGATTGGGGTTTGGGACCCTGCCCTACTCACATCTTTCACTCCTCAAATCTCTCTTCCCTTGTCTTCTTATTCCTCTACATTCTAATCTGTCTCCTCTGTCCACCCTGATCCTCCCCTCTTTATCTTCAGCCCTTACCTGTCTCCTTCTCTGATCCTCAGAATCTGAAGTCCCTCCTTCCTTGAGCCTTACCACCACCTCGTCACCCTTCCCCAACCCCTACCATGGCATGACCCACTCACCCTGCCCCTGGAAGACTGAGTCAAACATGGCAATGGGTGCTCGGCCACTGAACTCTTCAGCCTTCTCCACCAGAGCCTCCTTCATGGCCTCAGTCCCACATAACACAACCACAGGTCGGGAGCCCAGGAATATGGTAAATACATCCCCATACTTGTCCCGAAGCTATGGGAAAAGCCCCACCCCGTTAGATCCCAGTTGACACAATGTATTCCCCTCTGTATAATGGAGAGGGATGTATTTGAAATAGGAGGTGTGTAAGGCCCCTTTTAGCTCTAACCTTCAATGTTCTATGTTCTAAGGTCCCCCCTAGCATTCCATGTCTTAAGATCCTTCCCAACTCTTGACATTCTGTGTTCCAAGGTCTCTTCCAGTTCTGATATTCTATGATCTACGTTCAAAGGGCCTTTCTAGGTCTGACATTCTATGTTCTAAAGGCCCTTCCAGTTCTAATTTTCTGCGCTTCTAAAATTATACCTAGAACCACCCCCCTATCCCCATCCCACCCTGCCAATTCAGCATCAGAGGCAGAGAAGTTCCTCTCCTCCCCCAGAGTCTGGCCCAATGCTTCATTGGTAGTTCAGGAAATTGTTGATGATCTGGTCAGACTTCCTGGAGGAGTAGCTTAAAGGGCAGGATTATCTTTCTTTCTCCTATCCTTGGTAGATTATATCTTCTCCTAACAGTTAAGACTCTGGTGTTCCCATTTGCTTTGACTTAGCTTCTTTGGGAAGTGACAGGGATGTTAAGAAAGAGAGACAGAACAAAGCCAATATAATAAAAATGACAATTCTAAGGTCAAAATGGATGCATGACCGAGACTTAAAAGGAAATATCATAAGCAAATTAGAAGAGCTTGGAACACATTACATATCAGATTTATGAATAAGAGAAGAATTCATGAATAAACAAGAGATAGAGAGCATTGTGGGATATAAAGTGGATCATTTTTATTACATTAAATTTAAGAAGGTTTTGTACAAATAAAAGCAAAGTGGCAAGATTAGAAGGAAAGCAGAAAATTGATGGGGGGGAGATTTATAGCCAGTTTCTCAGATAAAGGCCTCATATCTCAAATGCTGAGTCAAATTATAAAAATATGAATCAGTCCCCAACTGATAAATGGTCAAATGATATGAACAGGTAGTTTTTGGAGGAAGAAATAAAAGTTATATGGAGTCATTTGAAAAAATTCTCTGTCATTATTGATTAGAGAAATGCAAATTAAAACAACTCTGAGGTACCATCTCACACCTATCATATTGGCCAAAAGGACAGAAGGGGAAAATGACAGATGTTGGAGGGGATGTGGAACAATTGGGACAGTAATACATTTGGTGCAACTGTGAACTGACCCAATCACTTTGGAGAGCAATTTGGAATTATATCCAAAGAGTTATAAAACTGTGTATACCCGGCAATACCACTATTAGATCCGCTTCCCCAAGTTGATCAGGGAAAAGAGAAAAGAATCTATAGGTTTTAAAATATTTATAGTAGCTCTCTTTGTGGTGGCAAAGCACTGGAAAGTGAGGGGATGTCCATCAATTGGGAAATGGCTGGATAAATTGCAGTATATGGTTATAAAGGAATACTATTGTGCTATAAGAAACGAGCAGGTTCATTTCAGAAAAACATAAAAAGATTTGCATTAAATAATGTAGAGTGAAATGAGCAGAACCAAGAGAACATTATATTCAGTAACAGCAATATTATTTGAACAGTAACTAAACTATTATGAATAATATGATCATTCATATCAACTATGAAGGACTTATGAAGGAAAATGTTATCTACCTCCAGAAAAAGAACTGATATATGGAAGTAATAAATATATATACATATATAATATGCATACTCATATATACATATATACACAGACATGCACATATATATACATGTATAATGTTGGTCTTCATATGGGATTGAGAGGGAGGGAGGAGGGAGATAATTTGGAACTCAAAATGTAACAAAATAAATAAATATTAAGAAAGTCAATAAAACATTTAAAAGGAGAAGAAAAAAAGTGAGATTGAGCCTCCTTTCCCCTCTCTACCCCTCCCTTCAAACGATCTTGTTCCTGGATCCTCCTAACAAGGAGTCTGAGTTGGGTTGGAGGGACAGAGCTCTAGTGACCATCCCTGGTGGGCAGTGAGAAGGAGGATGTAGAATCCAAATGTCACTTTGTCCATATCCACATCACTCCCACTCCTGTCCCTATGGAAGGCACTGCTGGAGGTCTGATAAACAATACTTCTAACTTCCCTCCACCTTTCACCTCTTTTCCCAGAGGAAAACTGAGGCAGGCAGTACTGGAAGTACCCTCCACCCCCACCCTTGAAAAGCTCAGAGAAACCCGGGACCCAATTTCCCTTCCCTCTGAAAGATCACGATGAGTCCATGGTTTTTTGCTTTATTCTATTTTGTTTTAAGAAGCAGGAACAGAGGGGGGAAGAGCAGAGAATTAATGGAACTCTCCTCTTCCCCTCCCCCTCACCAATAAAAACTCTTCAGGCTATCAGTTCAAATACCCACATACCACTTTGTATGATAGATCTCAAAGCGTTTATCCCTCAGCAACAAGGAGGCAAAAAATGTGATTCCATTCTCTACCCACTCTACTCCCCCACTTTTAGAGGGTCCACTCCGTCTAAAAAAGAATCCTACCCTTCCCTCCCACCATCTTTCCCCGACATTTCCAATTATGAGTGATCTCAAAGCACTTATTCCCAGAGAATAGCCAGGAGGGAAACTGATTTGGAAAGCATCCCCACAGGGGCTGAGGAGGGACCCAGAAATCCCTCACAGGGTGCGATCTCAGAGCACTTATTCCAAGATAAGGGGGTTAGAGAGGAAACTTCCCTAGGACCTCAGGAAAAAAGCTCTAGAAGTTCGTTAGCCTATTTCATAACCCTATTTCCTTTACAATGACTGCTCTCAAAGAACTCATCTCTCATTATGGAGAGATCTTGGGTAAACCGAGGCAGGTAGCATCACTGCCACCTCCAAGTGCTCACAGAAACCCAAGCAAGCCCAACCGCACAGTTCTGCCCGTCCTCACCGCCAAAAAGGATTTCAGGAGGCCATTACGGTCCATCTGCAAAAAGTTGCCAAGTAAAGGCAAGGGTCGCGGTCCTGGAGGGAGGCGGCCTTTTCGGGAAGCAGCAGGACCCCGCGCCAATAGGAGCAGGAGCCCCAGGAGGGCTGCCAGAAGAAGGAGCGACCCGAAATCCATCGCCCTGGCTCTGCTCGGCTTTGTGTCCCTGCCAAGACTTTAAACCTAGTCCAGGAGGGAGGCCCCGCCCTAGCTCGCCCTCTCCCCACACCCTAACATAAGCTCTTGCCGTGATAGCAGCTCCACTCCACCCAGGTTAAATGACCTCTCTGCCCATCCCTGTCCCTCCTTGGTCCCTGACCTCACCTCACTCCCCTGCACCTCCTGCCTAGGGCTTGTGGGGCATGTCCTTGTCATAGAGTCCAAAAGTTTCTGCAGCCTCTCCACCACACCCCCACTACAGCTGCCACTGCTCCTGCCCAGCTCTGGGACACTATTTGCTGCTGTCTCTCCTCTCTGTCTGTCTTTGTCTCTTCCTGTCTCCCCTCCCCTTCTCTAGCCCTGTCTCTCTTACTGTCTCTCTCTGTCCCCTCCCCCCATTCTCTTTCTCTGTGTCATGCCTGGGACAGAGATCAATAAAAAGCAAGCTGATAGCCATTGCACTCCCTACACTCTATCAGATTCTTAGAGTCACCAGGGTCCATGACAGGTCAACTTGAGGTGCTAGGAACCTTCCTGACCCAAACAGAGCCCTGACATGCCCAGCCTAGCCCTGCCCTCACCTCCCCTCACAGCTTTTTGCTATGTGTGTACCAAGGTACATACCCTCTCTGGGCTCCATCTACATCTCCAGCCTCCCTCCCTCCCCCCAAGTCTGACCTATTGCAGCCTTCCCCTAAAGGTTTGACACAGAAACTACACAAAGAGAGACAGAGATCTGGGAAAGTGGAGACACAAATCTGCCCAGAATATGACAGAACTTGGAGAAGCAGAGATGGAAAGGCAGGTATAGGGGAGGAAAAAGGAGAGAAAATGAAGTAGAAAGATTTTGGGGGTGCAGAGAGAGAAATAAGAAGAAATAGAGACCAAGAGGGACACTGAGAAGGAAAACAATGAAAACCAGAGACCCAGAATCATATGTGTAAAGCTGGAAGGAGCCTTAGAAGCCAACTGGTCCAACCAACTCCTGTCACACAAAAGAAAACTGAGGCCCAGGACAGTCAAATTGACTTTCCCAAGGTCACACAGCTAAGTGGCAGAACTCAGATGGGAAGCTGAGCCCTCTGACCCCCAAATCCAGCACTGTACACTAAACTACACCTCCAAGAAGGAGTGAGAGAGACAGGCGTAGAGTGGAGAGGGAAAGAGAGAAAAGCAGAAAGAGAGGAAAGGGAAGACAAAAGGATAAAGAGAGGGGGGAGGGAGGAAGGGAATGGAAGATACACCAAGAAGGGAAAAGATAATGATAGAGAGGGAGAAAGAAAGGAAAAGAGAGAAGTAAAGAAGAGAAAGAAGAGAAATTCAGAGAGGGGAAAAAAGATGCGGAAAGAAGGAGGGAAAGAAGAGGAAAGGAGAAAAAGAGGAAAGAAAGATCAAGTGGAAGAGACAAAAAGGAGAGATGAATGAGACTTGTAAAAGGAGACAGAGAAAAGAAAGACAGAGGGGAGCAAGAGGCTGAGAAAGGGACAGAGACAGAGATGAAATGCCAGTGTCCCTTGGGGGCTTTGAGACAGTAGTGCAGCTACTGTCCCCAGCTGCAGTCCATGGGAGATACATAGACAGGCCAACAGGTTGGGGGAAGGTGAGGGATGGAAAGGAGCACCTTCCAGGGGCACCAGGATGGATTTCAGGAAGACTTTGCCTGCCTGCCTCTCTTGCCTATCAAGAGTCTAAGTCTAGGGGCAGCTAGGTGGTGCAGTGGATAGAGCACTGGCTCTGGAGTCAGGAAGAACTGAGTTCAAATCCAGCCTCAGACACTTGACACTTACTAGCTGTGTGACCCTGGGCAAGTCACTTAACCCCAATTGCCTTGCCAAAAAAAAAAAAAAGTCTATAGTCTATAGGTACCTGATACTCTGACTTCCTCTGTTCCCTGTTCCTTCCATCCCTTCCAAATCTTCCATGCCTTCTGGCCCCCTACTTCCCTGCCCCCCTCCTTTCATCTCTCCCTAGCCTGTTCCCATTGCCCTGGCCCTGAGCCTTGGCTCTAGGTACAGCCATGAATGTCATTAGGAGAAGAGAGCCAAGCATTCCTAGTCTCCCAGCCCAATATGTCCTAAAAGGAAACCAAGGCAGACCAGGCCAGGAGAATCAGAGGCTGAAGTGATGCTTGGAATCAGGGACTAGAAGGGAGACAAAGAAACAGAGACAAACACAGAGGCCAAAAGATAATGACAGAGAGACAAAGAGTAAGACAGAAGACCACACACACACACACACACACACACACACACACACAGGCTCTCAGAGTGTG